AAACAGAGTTACTGTACAGCAGAAAAAACAGACTGTACACAGTGCACCTGAATGCATCGTAGCAGAGCCACAGTCCACACAGTGGTACTACAGCTGGTCCTGGACCTGAACTGGGACACAGAATGGCAGCAGGAGGCCCTCAGAGCAAAGAGCTGTACTGGAGACTAGTACAACTTCAGCAGTACAGGAGACAGAGCTTTAACCTAAAAAAGTACTTAACTCAGCTGGAGGAAATTTACTCTCATACTGAGACAGAAAGAAAGAAATGTTAAATCATCAAAATACTGTACAGGGTTTGGTTGAGAGGCTCCACTGAACCTGGACATCAGCACGTCTGCAGTCCTGGTCCCTGAATACTAGCACTGCTCATTACCAGTACTACAGCAGGAGTACAGTACTGCACTCAAGCTAATACTGGTACTGGAGAGTACAGAATGTGACAAATATTCAGACTGGTACCACACCATTACATCCTGGTACTGCAGTAATGCAGTATGTTTAGTGGCGCTGCAGTATTATGTACAGGTAGAGCAGTACGGCAGCTCGAACAGTCGTGAACACGCGTGCTGTATTTACATCGTATCTTCACATGTTTCTGCTTTGGTGTGAGCGTGGAGTGAGGAGAGGGGCATGCTGAGACTTTCTGAAGCCGGAGGGTCACATGACCAGACTATCCAACACCCTGCCTGGATCTCTGGAGGTCGGCGATGCTTACACAAAATATGACTGAAACGTTTTGCAAACGTGCCTAAAAAATGCAAACAAATGGCCCTGATTTGGATTTGGCCATTACCCACTCCCAGGTCAATACAACATTCCCAGTCTCTCCCGAATCACCTGCTGCTGAATTCCTTAAATTCATTTGGTTTCCATTGAATGTTCTCCCTCAACAACGCTTGATAAAACATGATCCTTGGAGACTGGAGAGAATATGGGCAGGCCTTCCTCCTAACACTGTGGGCTCTTCCAGTAAAGACACTATTTGGTCTCCAGCTGTTTTCACACAGACTTTAAACTTCTTACACTGCTGGAAATAGATTTATTCTATTCAGCCATACCCACAACCCATTATCGATGACTTTTCCT